GAGTCTCCCTCACTTTTCTGATTTTCACAGCACCTCAGTGGAGGGATCACTTTTCTAAGTTCAGAAAAGATCTGGAGGGGACTCTTGGCAATAAAAAAGAGTTAAGGGTGGTTAGGACTTTAACCTGATGTGCTCTATGTCCACTGTCTGCACCTGCCCCACCCCCAGTCTGTACCTGAAGGGGTAAGGACAGTCCCTGTCTCTGATGCTGCTCCTCTAGGGTCTCATGTGCTGGTGACTGGTGACTGCCCCGTGGTCCCTCCTGCCTGCCCCAGGGGGAGCAGACAGGATGAGCTAAGCTGTAAAGTATGGTTCTAGCCCCATGTCTGCCCACAGCAGAACTTGCTGCTGGGAGCACGGGGGCAGCTGACCCAGGGATTACCAGGGGAATGAGGGAGGGCAGCAGTGCTGGCAGTCCCCAGAGAAACAGTGGTGAGCAGCACCTCTTAGACAGACTCAGATTGCCAGACATTGAGAGCAAAGCACTCACCTCCTCACTTAAAGCCAGGTGCCATGGTACTGTTGAAGGGACCTCACAGCACCCCAGGGTGCTGTATCATCCAAGAGCAAAGCACTCACCTCCTCACTTAAAGCCAGGTGCCATGGTACTGTTGAAGGGACCTCACAGCACCCCAGGGTGCTGTATCATCCAAGTGGAGAATCACTGCTCTAATCCATGGCTTGGATTGCAGTAAACTGCCCTGGTGCAAGAACGGCTCTGCCCATCAACGTTTGTACTGTTGTTCCTATGCTAGTGCCTGGCCTCTTACAACTGTATTGTGAGTCCGTCCCTGACACAACCAGACCTGAAGCCATCCATTTCAAGCAGCCTAAGCACACAAAGTGGAGTAGATACAATTGCTCCTCTCCCTATGTGCCCTGGACATATCCTACAGGGTTGATTTCTTGTGAGTATAAATGGGTCCTGAAAAAGGGGGGAAACCACAGTCCTTCCTTGATGCTGGTGATAGTTGTTTGCATCTCAGTACTGTGATGTTTGGCACTGTGCAAATTTATTGCTGAGAAATGACCCAAAATCTCACCGTATATAAGTACTTATGATACCCTGAAGCCTTTGTCTGGCCAGTTGATCTGCAGGTGTCTGAGGAAAAGAGAGATAAAATAAATTAGTGAAGCTCTTTCTCTGCCTTCCTGTGGGGCTGGCAAGGAGACTTTCCCTGATTTCCTAAGTACCAGCAAAAGCTTTTATAATGTAAACCCTATGTAAGGGGGCATCCACGGGCCGGAAGGAAATAACCACACCTTTTGCAGATGTTGAAAGTGGCTGGATGGTGCTCCTGAACCCCTTTGGGGGGACAGTTGGGCAGGGTACCTACTCTGGCAGTGGTGGTATTCTCTAGCCAGCGTGTTCTCATGCATGCCCCATCCACCCATTCCCTTACACATCCTCCTAACTTGGCAATATGCCTGCAAAGGCACTCCAGGATGTCCCCATTCCACCACTCCTGAGACCTCAGTGTCTGGCACACTGCAGAGGGACCATTGGGATGAACCTGAAGCAGCCTCACTTGGAAATACTCAGGTACAGATTGAGTCAGCAGGAGTGGAGGGGGGAAGTCTGGTCCTGGCCTGAACATGTTGCCACTTGGATGTAGGCACATCCCCCAGAGGCCAAGACCTGGGCTGGTTCTGAGAGTTGCCTGTTGGGTTCACTGAAGCCTCCAAAAGGCTGTTCTTAGGAGCTGACATTTCTTCTTCCAGCATCGACTCTAGTCTCTCCTTCCATCTTCACTTGGGCTGCTTGAATAACAGCTGGCTTCAAAGGTCTATATTAGACGTTCTGCACATTGGGGGGTGCTGCTTACCTCAGATAGGGGTTCTTGTGTCTCCTGTGCTGTGCCTTTCTTATTTACCCACTGCAAGTAATCTGAGTCACCTGTATGACCAGAAATAGGATCTGTGGGGTTAGATCTTTCCCTGGGGATTTCATAGTTGCCTTTGTATTTTTAATCCCCCCTAGTACTGGCACAGGAGGCATTCCTGTGTGAGTCAGAGCATGCACTCTAGTGGTTCCTAAAGGCCTGTTGAAGCTGATATAATTTAGAGCAGCCAATAAGTTGCTCTATGTTAAAGCAGACAGTGATTCTGACCCCAAAGACTGGCAGAGCATAATCATAACCAGAGGACAGAGATGATCAGAAAAATACATTTTCTACCCCAAGGGAAATTTCAGAACCTGGATTTATCTAGATTGGGATTAAGTCAATGCAGGATTTTTTTTTTTCAGAGAGCGACATGTTCTGAAACATGTACTCAACCCTCTTGCACATGTAGTTTTAGATCTTGTTCTAAATGTCAGATTTCATTCATTTGGCTGAGCCATTGTTTTCTGATGGTAAATTGATGGGAGCTGTCAAATTGCTGTTCCCTGAGAGCAAGGAGCTAATCTGAAACTTTTTCTACCAGCTATGCAGAATAGTCACTTTTATCCCTCTCGGCTGCCACTCCTACACCAAGCACCCTGGGAAATCGGGCCATTTCACTGGAGACAGACCCCAAATTTTAAGGAAGTTGAGATCCAAGCCCAAACTTTGCTGCTCAGAGCAATGTTTTTTGTGAACTGTCACTGCATTATAAGAGCAACTAAAGGCCCCATTTGTGGATCATTGTGCTAGGTGCTATCCAGATCCATAAGGAAAAAGGGACAGTTCTGGCCCCACAAAACTTTCAAGCAGAACAAATGAGGAGAGACTGCCTGTGCATCTAATAGCTAGGGAAGCACAGGGTAAAAATGAAATTCCTGACAGCCCACTAGATGCTTCACCAGCATAGCATATATCACTGGGGGCCAACCTTTTTGGTAGGCATGACACAAGGTAAGCCCTGCCCCGTTCCTAAGTGGCACTCAAATCCCCATCCCTTTCCTGATCTGTTGCTCTGCTCTCTTGTTCTTGCTGCCCAATCCATTGCTCTGCTTACCTCATCTGTCAGATCTGCTGTGTGCCACACTATGCAATTGCATGTGCCACTTGTGGCATATGTACTGCAGGTTGGTTACCCCTGGTGTATCTGAAGTGCTGTAGTAGAGGAAAGATTGGGAGAAGAGCAACTTTGTGATTTTGCAGGGTGCTTCTTTGCCTAAAAAGCAGCAAGGAGGAAAATGCTTAATGAAATTTTCTTACAGCTGTGGACCAAGGAGTGACTGGGGCCATCCTGTGTGCTCTGGAAAAACTCCCCCCTGTCATGTCCCTATGCTACAGAGGTGGGCATGCTTCTGTATGGGAACAGCACTACACTGAGACACCAGTGCAGTAGGGCTCTTGCCTTATGGGCCATCTGCCAGAAGGCAGCACCCTCAGGCCCTTTTGTTGGGGGGTGGGGGGAAGAGAGCCTTGCATGATTCAAAGCTGATTAAGTCACAGCAGCAGTGCTGATGAGCTAAGGAAGGACTTTTGTCCAGTTGTCTCTGGCCAGATGGAGGGAGGCGGTTGCTGCCTGAGGCTCTGAGGGTTAGATGGTGTTAAAGGGGAGGGGTGGGGGAGCCCATGGGATTTCTCAGGGGCACAGAGAACGCTCTGGGGGCAAGGGCTGAAGAAAAAACCAGTAATGAAGATGTGAGTGAATGTTGCAGGCTGCCTTGGTCCCAGCAGGACCCACAGTATGGGGGTGGGGGCAGGTTAAACAAGAGGAGAAAGCCAAGCAACAGCTGGGCAGGGTGGGGAGACTTTGCATTGAATGAAGGCTGGGTTCTCATTTCACCCCACACCTCTTCCTTTGTCCATTCTTGGAGGAAGGTGGTGGAAGACAGATGCTCGAGGGACCTGATCCAAAGCTTCCGCAATCTGTGGGGTAGGGTGTGTATGTGAAAATAAGGACTTTAAAAGAAGAGAAGAGGGGTTAACACCTCATTCTTCTTGTTTTTTAGCACCACACTTTGAATGAATCCAAGACTGAGCCCTGGCAGGGGTGTGATGCAGGGGTAAGCAGAGTGAAGGGAGCTTTCCAGGTTAGTAAGCTCTCCGCAAGCTTGTTAGCAAGCTCTGCCCCTCCAGCTCGCACCACCAGCTGAGAGAAACCGTGCAGTTCCCTACTGCGTGTGGCTGATCTGTTTAGTGGGCAATAAAAATAAATGCCAAGGAGAAAAAGGCGCTGCCGGCCCTGCTGGGAACAGCCGCAAGAGAAATAAAGCAGGGGAACATGTCTCTCCTTTCAAAAAAAAAGAAAAGATAGGGTCTTTGTTTCACAGGAGCTCCGGGAGGCAAATGCCTGGGCATTTGTCACACAATGAGCTGGAAAATCTTGCTTCTGCATTATGTTTCCCAGTAAGAAACCAGGGTCTCCCTCTTCACCTTCTCTTTCCTTAGCTCCCCATCCCTATGGGCTTATAAACACTGTGGTCTTTCCTTTCCATCCAGAGCATCCTCAGCTGAGCCAAGTGCATCAGAGATGCTGCCTGCCTGCAAACAGCAGGGCTCTGGGGCTGTGTTATCTAGCCTTCTTTTTTTTTTATTTTATTTTAAGAGTAAAATCCTCTAAGAGGTCACTGGAACGATCCATCCAAAAGGAGATGCAATTGCAGACGTGAACCTGCTGCACATTCTGTGGAGGGGTGAAAGCCTTCCCCTCCCTTGGCAGCGCTGGTAAATACTTCCCAGTTCCTCTCTACAAGCAACCAGGCATATCTACATGCTGATGAAACATGCTCCCCTTTCCAATACCCCCCCAATGATAAATACCAAACTGACTGCACACCAGTGGCTTGCTTTTTTGCATTGCTGCCTCCAGCTCCCTGCACCCACCCTCCCATCTCCTTGGGCAGATGGCAAGACAGTGCATTTCCCTTTTAAGAGCTTGCAACCAGGGAGGGAATGAACACAAGAAGAAACTAGGCCATTGCCCCTTTTAAGCTGCAGCTCTGCCTGCCTGTCTCCCTTTTAATCTGCACCCAAAGCCCCAGGATCAGAGGCTGACGTCACCCTGCCCCTGAGCCTCCCTCTCTGATTGGCTGGGGGTGACGTCAGGTGCTTTTTTTTCAAGGCATGACCTCATCCTCAGTTCATTTTTAGTTCTAAAGTGCAACCTTCTGTCTTCCTGGATCCCTTCAGCCCTGTTAATGCTTATCTTTGCCATCCACCCCCCACCCCTATGCAGGGACATGCCTGCCCCTTGGCTGCTGGGCTAGCATGATGATTACCTTTCAGTGGGAGTGCATGCGTGTGTCTGCAAGAGGCTAGAACCTGCATCATCAGCACTTGCACCAGCCTTTGCAGGGCTCCTCATTTGATCATCTTGCAGTTGTGCTTAATTATCCCGGCGAATGTGTAGAAATTTGCAATCAGCTGGAGAATTTCAGGAGCTCTGATTCCCTCCTCTCCTTCCCCGGCTGCAGAGAAAGTGCAGGAGGGTAAGTGTTTGAAAGGTTGCATGGGAAGAGAAGGGGGCCTAGGACTTTTAATCATGCTTAATGTTTGAGTGATCCTGTGGGTTTCTGCGGGAGAGCAGTGGAGGTTGGAATGGGAGAGAAGGTTTTAATATGCATGGGTCTTTACATAGAGATGTTTACTTCCTACTCCTGACCCCATTATGCATAGTCCACCATGTACATGCATATGCATGCATGTTCTATCTGTTTAACTATCTGGATATGAACCCATGGGTCCTATAAGAATAGGTTGCTAGCCATAGCTGTCATGGGTATCTGTCATGGGTGCATGGCATGTATAGTGTTCCTGATCATGAAGATGCAGTGACTGGTGCACAAATTTGTGATCACAATGCGGGTCTTGCAGGGAATATTTGGAGTGAGATCCGGTCTATCCATCTATCTATATAGATCTACATATCCATATATCTTTCTGGATATAGATAAATATGTATACACGTAGAGATCGATATCTGTAAATACATTTTGAGCATGTTTGATCTGTGTCATGCCTACCTCTTGGAGATGCTTTTGAAACTGGGATATTTGGAATGGGATTTGAGGCATCAATTCCTTTTGCACCAAAAAAAAAAAAAAAGCTCTGCAGTAGACTATATTGCAGTGGAGAGCTGGTGACAGGGAATTGCATGCTTCCTAAATCCTGCTTATTTAGATGGGAGTTCAGAAACAAACCTGCTTGATTTATATGGGGAGTGAATAACATGGGAAGGGGATGGTGTGGTGTGGGGGGAGTAGTATAAGGGGAGTGATGGATACATGTTCTTGCACTGTAGGATCTAGATCTTAAAAATACCTGGTTTCCCACCAGATATAAGGTTTAGCAGAGCTCTTCTCTCTCCTAAGCTAAGGTTTAGGATTTGAGTGGTTGGTGTTAACAGCCCTGTAGTTTCCTGATGATGGAGCTTGAAGTATCACCCTATGTCCTTGGCATTTAAACGAACCCCAGGAAAAGGGCATATGTGCAGCAGCAGGGGTTTCCATGCAGTGTTTCCTTGCCATGGCTTGAAGGGAGCTGTAAGT